ATACATACATACACCCATACACCCATACACCGACATACATACAGACGTGCATACACACATGCATGCATACATAGATGCATGCACGCATACAAACAGACAGACAGACAGACAGACAGACAGACAGACAGGCAGACATGCATCCATGCATGCATGCATGCATGCATGCATGCATACAGACATACCGACATGTATGCATACATAATACATACACATATACGTACAGACATACGTACCGACAAATATACCTACACACGTACAGACATACATACACATACACACACACACACTTACACATGCACATGAACATGCACACGCACACGCACATGCACATGCACATGCACATACATATGAATACATAAATGCATACACACATACATACATGCAAACATACATACATTAGTTACGTCGGCGGCTAGACAGAGAGACTAAGCTGGCGAGTACATACATATGCACATGCATATATATATATATATATATATATATATACAATATCTGCCAACGTGCCTCTGAGCACAGCTCGTACATTTGTTCTGGCCTAATACGCACGAAGACAAGCCAAGAGGGCTCAACGAGGCCCCCAAGACTGTCCAAGAGGGCCCCGAGTCGCCGAAATATTGTTCCAAGACGCCCAAGATGGCCCCAAGATGGCCAAGGAGTCCTCCAACACGCCACAAGTGGCCTCCAAGAGGCCTCCCAACAGGGCCCTAAGAGGCAAAAGTCCTTGATTGCCCTTAGGTTTTAAAGGAGTTGGGCGTTTTCTTCGCCTTTTCGGCTTTCCGAAGCTCCAAGACGGCCCAGGAGGCCCCCCAGACCACCCCAAAACGGCCCAAGAGGCCTCCAAGAGGGCCCCAAGACGGCCTAAGAGGTGCCCAAGACAGCCCAAGAGGCGCCCAAGACGGCCCAAGAGAGCCCTAAGACAGTCCCAAAAAGAGCCCAAGAGAGGGAACACGAACCGAAAATCCGAGCCTTCCGCCCCAAGAGAGAAGGCCCAAAAAGGCGCCCAGGAGACCCCAAGAGGCCCCCAAGAGACCCCCAAGAGGCCCCAAACCCGCCCCCAAAAGGCATCCAAACTGCCTCCAAAAGGTCCTCGAGAGGCCTCCCACGAGTTCCCAACGAACATCCAAGAGGCTTCATAACCACAACCCAGACACGGTGGAAGAATGGGCCGAAGGCCATGAGATAGATGCGTATGCGGTCAGGAACTCTTGCTAAGCGAGTCCCGGCGGCGGCCCTGGCGACACGCTATGGCTTGCAAGCGGATTGCGCCTCGCTCCGCTCCGCGGGGCGGGAGGCTGGAAAAAGCTCAGGCCACGTTTTGGAACTGAGACGCGAATAGCGTGTCGCTCCGAAGCGCGGTTGGCCAGAACCGGTGGCGCAACACGCTGAGCCAAAGTTATGGACCGTGTGCAAATGTATACATAATCATGCATATATACCTATGTGTGTATACATATATATGTATATATATATATGTATAGACGTGCTCATTTACATACACATATGGACGTACATGTTTTATGCTTACCTATGTACACATATATGCAGATGTGTGTATAAAGAGAGAGATACCTGTATCTACAAAAGTGTGTCGGCGCAAGCATCCCCCCCTGGAAATGGAACGCTCAAACGTTCTAGCAGCAGGCGCAAGCCGAGGAGAGGGATAAGGATGAAGGGGATATGGAATGACAGGAGCACGGATTTAACGATGACAACACGGATGTGTGTTGAAGTCCCCCGACGCACACATAAATTTGTATGTATATACATATACATGCATGCATACATACATACATATATATACATGTCCATAACATATGCGAACGAGTCCTAATACACACAAAAAGTCAGCAGGTGAATCAGCCACACAAGGACCCTACTTACAAGACCTCCTCAATGTGACGGATGGAAGCGGCACGCGCATACTCCACATCAAGACGCGGTGTACAAATATGCATCCACATACCGTGTACATGGTGTGCGTACAACCTGCACACCATGAGCAGGAAGACCGGATCCTTCACAGCAGGAGGAGTAGGACCAGTGTAAACCCAGTATTCATCAACGATGTTGGACTTAACCCCCTCCCTCCAAGCTCCCTCTTCATACGCCCCTAGAACGGTTCATTTCCGTAGAGGGAACTGCCTCGTTGGAAGACAACCGTTTGAAGATCCTGAAGCATGCCAAAACATTGTTCTCGGGATTTCAACGACAAGGATCAACCTGACTGCTGCGTCTTGACGAAGCGGAATCGTGCCAGCACGCCATTTTGGGGACTTCAAAACCGCGAATCAACATAACTGTTGCACCCGCATAACCCTGAATCCTTCCCAAACACCGTCTCTGGTACGCTGATCATGGGAATCCGTGAAACTCTAGTAAATGTTTAAAACGAATGTGCGCGGCGCTACGGCGAGAGCCACTGTTTGAAAAGGAACCGCCCTCAACCCGTGAAAGTCTTGCATTTTTTAGAAGCGAATGTGCGCGGCGCTAAAGCGAGAGCCACATTTTGAAAACGGCCCGCCTTCCATCTGTGAAACTGTTGACACGTTTGAAACTTCAGAATCATACATGGTGAAAAAATATCCGGCGAACCGCCCAGCCCGCCCTAAAAATTGGCCTCGGGGTGGGACAGGAAGCAATTAGTTATATAAGGAAAAGGAATGGAGCCGCCACAGCACGATGGATTCACGCTCCAATTGATCAAGATGGACGTTCCGAAAAAGCCTAGCGTGGCTCGTGTGTGGCTCACGATCCCGCTAGAAGGCCAAGCATTACTCCAAAAGCGCCCTCAGAAGGCTCCAGGAACCCAAGAGCCCCACAGGAGGAGGACGAACACAAGGAGCACGACGACGACGACGACGACGACGACGACGACGACGAAGGATCCCTCGATGTCTGGGGCAGGCATGCAGGCGGCAATGCCCGAAGGCCTTCAGACAATACGTCGTCGTCAGTCCCATCCAGCGCAGCGAAAAATGACCACACGCACTGTACAGTGCAGCGTCTTCCCTTCTAAAGGTTGATGCCATGATAAATGGTCTCACACGGTAACAAAATATCAAGAGAGGGGGCCTCGGGAGGGCCCGAAGAAGGCCCAAGAGGGCCCAAAAAACTGCCAAAAAGCCTCCAAGACAGCCAAAAAGGCTTTCAAGAGGGCCCCAACAGAGGCCAGAGAGGCCCAACAGCGGGAAACTCGCTGGGGCCACGGGATCCCTCCCACACAGGATGGCCCCCCACGACGCCCAGCAGGCCACCAAAATGCCCCCAAGAGACGACGACGACGACGACGACGACGACGACGACGACGACGACGACGACGACGACCTCTGCGATCCCTGTGGCGGGGGTCGGGCTCCCGCCTGCCGCTGGGTCCCCCACACGCGGACGGCCGCGCGGACTCGTACCCGAAGCCGACGCAGCCGGGGGCGCCCCTAGCGGGGAGAAGGGGGAACGTCCCAGGGCCCAAGGGCTATCCCTTCCTCCTCGACCCCCCTCCTACTACCAAGGTCCTCCTCATCCTCCTCATCTCATCCTCCTCATCCTCCTCCTGCTCCTTCTCCCCCTCCTCGATCCTCCTCCTCCTCCTTCTCCTCCTCCTCCTCCTCCTCCCCTGCCTCCTCCTCCTCCTCCTCCTCCTCCTCCTCCTCCTCCTCCTCTCCTCTCCTCCTCCTCCTCCTCCTCCTCCTCCTCCTCCTCCTCCTGCCTCCGCCCCCTCCTCCTCCTCCTCCTCCTCCCCTCCCCTCCTCCTCCTCCTCATCATCATCATCATCATCATCATTCATCATCATCATCATCATCATCATCATCATCATCATCATCATCATCATCATCATCATCATCATCATCCTCATCATCATCATCATCATCATCATCATCATCATCATCATCCATCATCATATCCTCATCCTCATCCCCTCATCTCATCTCCTCTCCTCCTCCTCCTACCTCCTCCTCCGCCCCCTCCTCCTCCGCCCCCTCCTCGCTCCTCCTCCTCCTCTCCTCCTCTCTCCTCCTCCTCCTCCTCTTCCTCCTCCTCCTCCTCCTCCTCCTCCTCCTCCTCCTCCTCCTCGTCCTCCTCCTCCGTCTCCTCCTCCTCATCCTCCTCCTCCTCCTCCTCCTCGTCCTCCTCATCTGGACCCGACATCAACGAAGTTGGGGTCGAGCAAAAACGCCGGCATCGAAAGAGCCACGACGTCGGAGGTCTGGGCCCAGGGTCCCATCCGAGGTCCACGTCGACGAGTCGAACATTCTCTCCTTCAGGGTCCCGCGCGCAGGAGGGGAAGAGGGGGTGGGGGGACGCGGGCTAGGGAGAAACAAGACTTCCCAACAACGAAGATGACGACGACGACGACGACGACGACAACGACGACGACGGCAACAACGACGACGACGACGACGACGACGACGACGACGACGACGACGACGACGGCGACGACGACGACGGCGGCGGCGGCGGCGGGCTCCTGCACGCGCTGGCGCAGCCGAACATTGTGTCGCTCCGGTTCGCGGGGCCGCCGATGAGGATGTCCCTCGCGGCGCGGGATGCCGTCGCCGCCGTCGCCGCTATCGCAGTCGCCCGCGTTGTCACGGCGCGAGGGTCCAGCGTCGGCGTCGGCGTCGGCCTCGCCGCTCGCCACTCCCAGCTGGTCGCTCGTCGCTCGTCGTCGCTTGTCGTCGGTCGCCGTCTCTTGCCGCTTGCCCTCGTCGTCGTCGCTCGCAGTCCGCATCGTCGCCGTCGTCGCCGTTGTCGCTCGCCGCCGGTTGCTTGCCGTCGTCGTCGTCGTCGTAAGCGTGGCACAAGCGAGCTCACCCCCCAAAGGCTGCCACGTCCCGCCCCCTCCCCTCACGGGGTTCGCTCGGTCCCTCCCCCCTCCACCTCCCGCCCTTCCCCCCTTCCCCCCCCCCTCCTCTGCCCCTGACCCTCCATCTTCTACCCATCATCCCAGAACTATGCGAGGAATGCCCTCCGGAATCCTCGTCGAAAACAGGACGTCCCCGCGTCACAGCGAGGAGCTCAGGGCACGCTGCATGGAGCCCTCGTTTGGGTGCAGGGCGATGTCGGCGCGGCTGCTGCACCGACGCCTCTCGAACTGCATGCTTGCATCGACGGGCCTCAGTTTCCGAAGCACGTCGCTGTTGTAGTCCTCGATGACACGGACGTCATAGGGCAGCTCGGGGGCCGCGGTCCGCATGACCGTGCGCAGGAACAGGCTGCAGCTGGCGAATAACAGGAATACCAATAATCGCTCACGGACTTCTCTGAACCACGCTGGACGCACCACAAAAGCGGCGATGTAGCCGTTGAAGAAGACAGCGACGGTTCCTATCATCACAATCACCTTCTTCCAATTACCGATGCCCTCGGCCGCGTGGGGGTATGGGCGGCCCGTGATAAATCGCATCCGCAGCATTAGCAGAGCGAACTCCACCAGCTGCGACAGAGCTGCGATCACGATCATGGTAGGACTCACCAATGCGAAGATAGATATGTACGCAAACCCGAGCATCAATTCCAGAAAGTCCTCGACGTAGGATCCACCCCACTCGAGATACTTGTACTTGGCGAGCACATGACGCTTGGCTTGCACTTCCAGGGCGGTGTATTCTATCCTCTGTGGTTCGTAAGATTCGTAAGATGAATCCTTGGAAGAGCTGATCAACTTTGCCGCTGAGACCTCCTTCTTGATGGCGTACAGGATCATGACAGAAGAGACCACACAAAAACCGATGGACGTGACAACGTGCAAGACGAACTGTGTCAATATCTGATACTCAAGTTCGATATGGCAATTTGTTTTACAATCGACAGCCCTACCCACCATGATACAATTCGACTCCGGCAAGCAGTACGACAAGCAAACCTCAAAGAGAAGAAGCTCGCCGGTGCTTGGGGGAAAAGCGAGGGAACGTAAAACAATCAAACAACGCAGCACAAACAAGAGGCCACGGCACGATCGTGGGATAATACATGGCTTAGGCTGACTCTGGAAACCATTTTCCGGAAGAGCTTGACATCTCACGCTTACGTCCTCCGCCTTCCGCCGACACTTTCTGGACGCTGGCACACGTCGCTACCTGCACGGCTGCGGGAACGTACTTTTGACTCCAGCCTCGCTTACGACAACGACGACGTGACCCGCGCTCTGGAGCAGCAAGGGACAGGCACAGGCACTACAATAGACACATACGACGAGACATCTTGCCGTCAAAGACCCTGGGGCACATTCCTCGTCGCCCTCTGAGGGCCCGAGGTTGCTCCAGAGCTCGTGTGGGTCCGTGGGGCCATCGGGATAGAAAAAACTTCCGTGGGGCACCCGCTGGCAGGCCGATGCCTTTTTGGGGTGCAGGGTGGCGGGGCGAACAACCACACGCCAGGCTGGTGGTACCAGCGCGCGATGACGATGTTCTGCTGAGGACCCTTCGCACGGGGCCGCATTTCCCCGACGGCCCTGACCTTGTTTTTCCGAGTCCTTCCGACAGAGCTCAGTAGAACCATCGCGCCCAAGGCTGCTCAACCGCGGGCTCCACGGGGCACGGTTCGACCGAGCCTCTTCAGGAGAGCTCGGTTGAACCATCCTGCGTGCATTCGGCGCTACGCTGGCACTGTGGCTGGGTTTTGCCCAGGCACTTGCATGGCAAGAGAGACAAGTGGACACTTCGACCACACAATCAGGTGGAAATCCCAACAGCCCTCTGGGCGTAGGTGGCTCAGAAAACCAAACAGGAAATCACTCTCATCCTAGAACAAATGTATATCCCTCTCCCCCTTCCCCTTCCTCCCTCCCAGGCCCCCAGTCGCGAGGCGTTGGTATATCCATAATGGCCCGGAACGGCTTCAACGTGCCATCAAAAAGCCCAGGATGGTCTGCTTGAAACCGCAGGGAGAAAAGGCACCCCAAGATGGCCGAGAGCATGGCTCCAAGAGGCACCAATACGGCCCCAAGCATGCTATGAGGGTTCCCATTACCTTCTGTTCCAAGAAGCAGCAAGGCGAGATCTTTCCTTCCAGACCTGGTGCTTGTCCGTGTCCGCAGCGTTCCTGTTCACGTGCACGAGCCAATGGAGAAAGACCGAATAGTTTGAGAGGTAGTAGTCGGCAAGTAGATAGTCGTGTGTTCCCGCATTCAGAAAAAAATTGGCATCATGAATTAGCTTGTCACTGTTATCGAAATCGTCGACGAGTTTCGCCAGAGGCCACCCTGAGGCCGAACCATTCAACGGCAGGTCACCGTATCTCTTCTCCACAGCCTCTGTCTTGGTGCCTGCGCAGTATGCCTTCGCGAACCCGTCGAAGAGAAATCGGTCGGCCCTCCTGCTGGCAAGGCACAAGGATGCAAGGACTGCACGGCGGGGAACCCGGACGCGGCGAGCGCGCGCCTGCGGCGTCGATGGCCCGATCTCGGGGGTCTGGCGCACTGTTGAGAGTGGCCCCTACCCAGGAACAGTGGCGGTCAGGCACGTCCCCAGAGAGGCGGGACGTCTTTTGCTTGCCTCTGCGGGCCTCCTCGAGGTTCCTCGTCGCCGCGGCCAGATCCCCCCCGGATCACAAGCCAGAACGCACCCCAGGACAGGTCCAGCTGCCCATTGTTGACACCCGTTCCACGATGCCCCCCGCGTGATGGAAAAATCGCAACAAAAGGGGACTTCGCGGGGTACCAGGGCCGTCGAAAAACGGCCCTGGATAAAAAAACGGTTCCCAGGGAAGGGGTCGAGGCTTCCTGGGGCCCTCGCCGTGAAACAATCACGACGTCGGCCGCCTGAGGGTCTATACACCATCCTGGGGCCCAGGATAGCCCTGGCCAGACACGGATGCCTTGTGCGGAGCCTCCTCTCCCAATGTCCGGCCCACCACTACCGGACGCTCTGCCGCGAAGCGCTTCGAATATACTCAGGGGCGGCCAGACGAAGAAGAACAGTTTGTACCACGACAGCCGGAGTAAAAGAGCATCGTGGTAGCGTTTCTTCGTCTTGTGGTTCTCCATGTCGGTGATCAGTGGGGCTGCATAGCCCCAAACCTTCTTTGCGACGACAATGAACGCCGAGACAAGCCATGTCTTCGTTGTCTGATGCCCTTCGACCAACCACTCTGAGTTGATGGCAGTGACGATGCACAGGTACAACGCGACATACGACCCCGTACACAACGCTGCGCAATAATACTGGTTGATCTCCTGTTGCGTGCCCACCAGCGTGGGATCGAAAGATCGCAGATCGTTCTCCACGACCTTCAAGGTGCCGGGGCTTACACCTCTCACTTATCCTCGTCGTCCCCTGCCTGCTTACGACGACCATCCTCACACTCACACTTGCTATCACCCCACTAATCATCGTTACGAGCACCACCATCATCATCATCATCATCATCATCATCATCATCATCACCATCATCATCATCATCATCATCATCATCATCATCATCAGCATCATCAGCATAATCATCATCATCAGCATCAGCATCATCATTATCATCTTATTATTCTTCATCATCATCATGATCATCATCATCATCATCATCATCATCATCATCATCATCATCATCATCATCGTCATCGTCATCGTCATCATCATCATCATCATCATCATCATCATCACCACCATCACCATCACCATTATCATCACCATCATCATCATCATCATCATCATCATCCTCAGCCTCATCATCATCATCATCATCATCGTCGTCGTCCTCATCATCACCACCAGCACCACCAGCATTATCAACAACACCACAAATCATCATCCTCATCATCATCATCATCATCATCATCATCATCATCATCATCATCACGGTCATCAGCATCATCAGCATCATCATCATTATCGTCGTCATCATCATCAGCATCACCATCACCACCGCCATCACCATCACCATCCTCATCATCATCGTCGTCATCATCATCACCACCACCAGCATCATCAACAATACCTAATCATCATCATCACCAGCAGTAACATCATAATCATCATAATCAGCAGCATCAGCAGCATCAGCATCAGCAGAATCATCATCATTATCAGCAAAAGCAGCATCGTCATCGTCATCGTCATGGTCATCGTCATCGTCGTTATCATCATCATCAGCAGCAGCATAATCTTCAGCAGCAGCAGCATCAGCAGCTTCAGCGCCAGCATAATCATCAGCATCTTCAATCGTCATCGTCGTCGTCGTTATCATCATCATCAGCATAATCAGCATCATCATCAGCAGCATCAGCATCACCAGCATCATCATCACCACCATCATCACCATCACCATAATTGACATCATCGTCATGATCAGCATTACCACCACCATCATCATCATCCTCATCATCATCACCATCATCAGAATCATCTACAGCAGCAGCAGCAGTCCAGCAGTCCCTCCTCGTCGTCAGCATGGTCCCTCCCTCCCTCCCCTACTTGAAGCAGCAGATGAACAGGAAACGCGTTGCTCAGATGGACACGCGACAGTGAGGCAACAACTCCGACGCGACGCGTTGCATCGCGGATACCGCGCGGTGCACACGCGACCTCAAGCCCTTGCAGGGTTCTTGTGCTAGGAAAATGACCTGTTCTGCAAGACCGCCTCCTTCATCTACCCCCCCACACCTCTCCTGACTGATTTCCATCCCTGGGAGGAAGGAAGATGAGGAAGGACGTGGATATTTGTGTTGTCCTTCTCCGATGCGCTGGGTGGTGCAACAGACGGAGAGGAAGGAACCAGAAGGACGAGACCCTGACGCGCACCCGTTGAAATCGCCGGCCAGATTTCAGCTGGCGCGCTACGTGGTTGATTGCAGAAACCCTGGGCCCGAAATGTCGACGTCTCACTTTTACGTTTGCCGGCTTCCGCCGACCTCCTGCAACCTTCACCCCGCGGACCCGCCGCCGCGTTGTTTCCCGTAGTTTCCGCCAACATTCCGCCTGTGATGGGCCGATTTTCCACCATCACTACCTTAGGTAGGAGATGGAGGCACAACGTCATCGAAGAAATGTTCCCCTGCATCCCACACGCCTGACTACTGCTGACGGGCAGCCTGCACAAAGTCAACGGCCCTGCGTGGGGAGAGAGGGAGGGAGGGAGGGAGGGAGGGAGAGAGGGAGGGAAGGAGGGAGGGAGGAACGCGAAGGTGGAGGAGGAGGAGGAGGAACGAACAGCGAGGGGGAGGAGGAGGAGGAGGAGGAGGACGAGGAGGAGGAGGAGGAAAACGAGGAGGAGGAGGAGGAGGATGAGGACGGGGAGGAAAAGGAGGACGAGGAGGAGGAGGAACGAGGAGGAGGAGGAGGAGCAAGGAGGAGGAGTCTGTCTGTCTGTGAGCGGCTGTGGGACGAGAGATCAGAATGACTGCTCCACTGACTGGTTTCGTGCCTCAGGAAGCTCAAGCTGCACCTACACGAGGGACCGAGCAGGCCGAAGGGGCCGACCGAGGGGGCCGAACAGAGGAGGCCACGAGCGACGGGCAGGGGCCACGAAAGGCGAGGGGCGAAGAGGGAGGCGAAAAGGAGCAGGGGGCCATCCTAAGCGTGCGTCCGCCGCCCGCACCCATCGAGAGTGCGTCACACTGCCAGGTGCACGAGGCCGCACTGCCGAAGCTCAATGGCTACGGCGCGGTGCCCGCGCCCTCCGAACCCAAACTCACTAGAGCCAGGCCTCAAAAAGGATTTCATCTTCATCCTCGGCCTCTGAACTTGTCTCTGTGGCGCCTACACTCAGGCGTCCTTCAGCACGTCGATCCAGGCCGAGATCTCGTCCTCGAGGTACCCACTCGGCGCCGCCCCCACCGTCGTCACTACCCCCATCGAGCGAAACGCTTCCATCACCTGCACCTCGAGGTCCACACGGTCCAGCGCGAACACCACCTTCAGCATGTCGGGCTGCTTGCAGCTCTCCAGGCGGCACAGGCGAACGTAGGTGGGTGGCGCCTCCTCCATCTCGGCCAGGAGTGCGACCAGGACGTCTTTGAGCCTCTTGCCGATCTCCTCGTTCGCCAGCGCCTCGATCACGGCGCAGAAGACCGCGGGCGCTGGAGGGCCCAAGCCGCGGAGTCCCTCCATCATCTTGTCGGCCTCCTGGTCGAACTGGCGGGCCGCTGCTCCGTCCGTGTCCTTCGCCGCCTTGGCCTGGTCCTTCAGCCTGCTGACCTCCGCGCGCTTCTGGTTCGCCACCTGCGCGAAGTCCTGGCCCTCCTGCTGCATCGCCTTGATCACTGGCGACTTGTCCTCCAGGATCGCTGCGCGCGTGGCGATGCCCCACGTCGCTCAAAACCTCTGCGCCAGCTGCGACACCAGCATGGAGAGGTGCAGGAGGAGGTCCTTGAGGCCTGCGCCCTTCGTCGTGAGCTTGCGCTCCTTGGCCTCCGCGCGGCGCCGTCCGCCACGACGTGTCTTCGGCTTCACTGCGGCGCCCTCCACGCCCGCGTCGCCCCGCGCCAGCCTGGCGCCCTTGCTGTCCTTCTGGCTTTTGCGGCTGTCGCTGCGGACGGGCTTGGACTGCGCTCCACCAGCCCGCGAGCTGGCCGAGGAGGCCGCCACCTGCGGGCGCCAGCGGCCCTTCTTCTCGACCTCCATCACGAGCTGCAGCACCACCAGCAGGAGCGGACGCAGCGCGGGCAGTCGCACCTCTAGCGGCCGCGGGGACGAAAAGGCGGGCCGCCGTGCGCAAGTCAGAGCCCCGCAGGCGAGCCCCCCGCGGGAGCGGATCACGACGTCTCGGCCTCGGGACAACTGGGGCTGGTCGAGGTTGCACAATCGAAGTAGAACGGCCCTCCTGCGCCGGCGGCAGGTGTGAGCGGAGATGACTACGGAGCAGCTCGTACGAGGGGAACTCTGCGCCACACAGTGCACATTCACGAACGTTCGTATCTGTGAACTCGTAGGGGTACGCCGTGTTGTGCATGATACATCTGCCAGCGTGCCACGCGCGTGCAAGGTGCCGTACCGTCTCCGTTCTTGTCTGGAATATTGTGCCACAGTTGATACATGCGTTGCTCGGTGTGAGAGCGTGGAATATACTGTGCCCCCCATGTCCAGGCTGTCTAGATTGACAAACATGCGCCACCAGTGCTGCGCGCGTACGGAACGAGCAACCACATATGGGGCCTTCGGGATCTCCTCGAATTTGGCAAGTGAACTTCTGGGCCTCTGGGTCCTCCCAGCTGTTTTCATCATCCAGGGCTGTGGGTACCGATGCCACGATCGCTTCAGGCGGTGCCCACTGTACAGCAGCAAAGGCGCTCCGCAAGCACCTTACGTCAAGGGAGACAAAGAGGCCGTTCACCTCCTCGTCCCACAGCAGGTCCCTCATCGAGCGGCTCTCCCAGACCAGCGAAAAGTACTCCGCCTCTGGGTGGTCGCAGAGGGCCTCGAGATCGCGTCGCAACTGACGCGCCCAAGGATGAATAACAGCATCGGAATTGAACTGTCCAGATTCCACTAGCGTCGGTGGGCATCGGTACTCACTAGTCAGCTCCCACTTCATTTCCCCGAAGAAGACGCCCAGGACGTGGCTATGTTGTCGAGGGCTGCGCGCAATAGCCTGCCACATGCGGAGGCGCTGGACCAGCGCCTCCAGGCTGAACGGGACGAGGCTCCAGAACCTGTAGACTTCTCTAGTAGTCATCACCTTCACGTGATCGTTATGCATTTGAGACGTTCCCCCCATCATCGACATCAACTTGCGTGACAAAGAACTGCAAATGTGGCGAGCCTCCGAGTCGGTCCAGCAGTAGGCCGCAGTGCCCGGCAAGGCCGCCCCCGACACCAGGCTGATGAACATGAGGCGCTTGACGCGCTTGGGGGCAGAGGAGTACCAGAAGCCCTGCACCACCATCCAGCCCTTGTTGATCGCCGCTAGGCGCATGGCCAGCTCCGTCGCGTTGGAGTTCACCGCGTTGAACCAGCCCCCCAGGTGCTTGAGCTCGTAGCCGCTGCGGCACCCATTCCTGGCCAGGGCCTGGATGGTCTGGCGGACCAGCTGCCTTGAACCCAACGAGACAACTACGTCCTGCTTCGCTCGGTTCTGGCCGTAATGCCGCGCAGCCAGTGCAGCGTCGAGACCTGCGTCGTTCCGCTGAGAGCACCGCACTACCTCCTGGGCCGTGCGCGCGGTGGGCGGGACGAGCTGCGTTTTGAAGATGTCGTCCATGAAGCACCCCAGGCTCGCGTCTATCGTGGGCAGGCGGTCATCGAAGTTGATCATCATCGCCTCGCCAGTGGCCGCCTGGTCCACGAGGGCCCACTTCTGGACCGCAATGTGGCAGTTGCTCATGAAGAGTTCGGGCTCGGAGGTGTCGCCCATGAAGCCCCCCGAGCCGCTGGCGATCGCCACCTCGTGGTCCGAACCCGAGATGACCACCGTCAGCGACTGGCGCCTGAGCCTGGAGATCGTCGTCACGTAGTCCACGTCATCCTCCTCGACCTCCTCGGCTGCCGTCTCCAAACGGAGGCGGGCGCCATGCTAGTTAAGGTACCCTGAGAGAGACGAGAAGAGGGCGATCGGGCACGAAGCGAGACGAGGGCAAATGATGTCCTTCCGCAGCGCCCGTCGCTAGCTCTCTCACCTATGGAGTAGTGTTTTGGCAGCTCGGTTCGCTGCGGCCATCGCAGCAGGGCGTGAGCTCGGGCCAGCGTGCTGCTTCATTTTGTTCTAGATGTGAAACGCCAACGCGATGCGCTCAACCGTCGAGCGGATTCTCGGGCGGGTACGCAGCTGCGGGCCCAAGGCCCCAGGCTGCGAGCGTCGAACGGAGGAGGGGAGGATCAGGGGACCAGAGGAAGCTCGAGAGCGAGGGGCAGGTGAGGTGGTGGGAAATGAATCTGGCTGGCTCCCGCACCCGAAAACGCATTGATTTGGGGCGAGCACGTGCATACGGCCAGCGGTAGTCCAACCACCGCTGAGTGTCTTGAAGGTGGCCCAGCGCCAGCTGGGGCGCACCGTTTTGAGCGATTCCGCGAGCGCTGACCAGCGCCCTTGTAGCTCTTCTGGCGCCGTCGGCGCCTGGAGGCCCCAGGCCGAGATGCGTTTGAGCAGAGTGGCGGTAAACGGCGAGGCAAAAGTTTGCTCTGCAAGCTTGCGCGCAAATGTGCGCCGGCATGTCGGGCGACGCGGCGGGGCGGCAGCTGCGGCCCCGCGCTGTTCGAGGCGAGCGGCGCGCAAAGCGGCTGAGACGGCTGGGCGGGCGAACGGCTTCTGAGGCTGGGCTCCGAGGAGGGAGCGATAGCACTGCGCGATGGACTGCTGAGACGACCAGAAAGCGGGCGACCACACGCCAGCCTGCCAGCAAGGCGCGTTCTGAAGGGAGGCTTCCTCCCATGATGCGTCGGCGAGGCGACCGGCAAACGGCCCCCAGTCACCCGCGAGAGTGACGGCAGCTAAACGGGCAGCGGCAACGACAGATGTGACCTGAGCGGACTGTGGGACAGGCGGCGGGCTCCACCACGCCATGGCTACGAAATCAACTTCGCGAAGTGAGTTCGGCGGCAGGCTAAGCATCCGATGGAAAACACACTGTTCACGGCGGGCGGTCAACGGCTGAAGAGGAAAGAACTGGGAGACATAGCTGAGCGTGGACAGGGCTGAGGTAGTATAAAACCGAACTGTGGCGTCACTGCCACCCTGCACTAGGTGTAGAAGATTTCCTCGTTGCCACCATTTTTGCCCTGGTGCGAGCCACTGCGAAGCCAGCGAGGCCTCGGGGCGAAGGAACGTGCCGAGGTGTTTGGCACGGCCCGCAACCGAGAAACCACCCCAGGAAGGTCCGAGCTCGGCCAAAAGGTTTTGGTTTGGACAATGGCGTCCAGGGTCGCCGCGGCCCAGAGCGGAACGATGAAACACTTGCGAGGCTTACGCGAGAGGAGCGCAAGCTTCTCGGCGACGGCAAAGGGCTCAGATGCGCGGCGCAGCGTGTCGAAGGAGTATGTCAGCAGCCCGATGTCGTCCGCGCAGGCGCCGAGGTAGCCGGCGCCCAGATCCGGCGCGCCGTCGTGGTGCTCCACAAACGTGGCGAGGTGGCGGATGAGCGGGTCCACGGCGATGGCCCAGGCCAAGCCCGAAGCAGGACAGCCTTGCTCAACTCCAGACTCTATGGCGCACATGGCGTACCTGACGTCGTCGATATTGATGTAGCTGTTCGGCGCAAAGTACAGCGCACGGAAGAGGTTCATGAGGCCAGCCGGGATCCCGAAGCGCTCCAGCGCGGCGAAGAGCCAAACCCGCCCCAAGGACGGGAAGACGGCAGAGAAGTCGAAGCCCGCGAAGACGGGCTTGGCTTGAAGAGCTCCAGGGAATAGACCTGCGCGCCGCATCTCAGAGTCGAAGCGAACGATGTGCTTGGTGAAGTTGCGCTTCTGCACGAAGCCCGGTTGTGCTATGTGGGCGCGCTCTGCCACAGCGCCCTTGATGAGGTAGCGAGAGCGGTCGGGCATCTTCAGGAGCTCGGTCTGTCGTGAGTTCGCCAACGGCGTTGTCGCCCTTCGGTAGGAAGGCGAAGTCGGAATCGCTCAAGTCGCAGATGTAGTACTGGCCAGAGCAGAGGAAGAAGGACGCGTCCTCCAGGAGGGTCAGCGAGGCATCGCGCGCGAGCCAGGCGGAGCACGGCAAGCAGTCGGGCCCGGGTGCTGACGGCGAAGTGCGCTGCAGGAAGGCCTTGATCTGCGGCTTCGCGGGGGGCCCAATGTCCAGGATCTCGCCCTTCGGCATGTTCGTGCGGACGCAGTTGGTGACCTAGGTCTCGTCGACGGGCTTGGCGGCGAAGACGGGCTGCCAGCGGTCGCGCAGGGCCGCGACCATCGAGCCACTCTCTCTCTCTCTCTCTCTCTCTCTCTCTCTCTCTCTCGCTATCTTGGGCCCGCCCGGGCCAATGACCTTAATTCCCTGGAGGACGAGACGGCGCATCCAAGGAGACCGGAGGAGAGCCCGACGCTGGGCGGCCCGAAGGACCTCACGAAGTTTTCCAGGGTCCAGGGCGCCAGCGTGCCCCTGAGGGCGCCGTGCGGCTTGCTGCGCGAGAGAGAGTTGCCGCGCCTCGACGTCGCGGTTCAGCTGCGAAGCGAGGCTGGCGAAGACGGCAGGCTCGTTGATCGCGATGATGTCGTCGGAGGTATTGGCGAACTTGGCGCCGAGCTCGGTCGCGGAGGCAAGTCTGCGGGCCAATTGAAGGTCTTGGCGCCGAACGGCTCGCGAGATGGAGCGCATCGCGTAGACCCTGCCGGCCAGGAAGCCTGTCTTGTTGGCATCGCCGGTAGCCCGGCGGACCCAACCGTCGCGAACCAGCTGGGCGGCCTCCGTCATGAGGCGCTCGTGGGTACGCCAGCGGCTGTCCAGCGAGACGCAGTCGAAGTTGGTGGCGTCCAGGAGCTCCTGGAAGTAGATGGCGCAATTCGGGTCGCGGAAGATCGAGGGGCGGATGGCCTGCTCGTCATTCGGGGTGCGCGGCTTGATGCCGATGGAGAAAGTGATGATGGCGCGGTCACTCAGGCGATCGTCCGAGAGCAGCGCGGCGTCGTGCACCACGCGCGCGCGGGTCGAGAGCTCCTGGGTGGCGCGCGAGGGCAGGCTGATGAAGATGCAGTCGATGGTCGTGGCGGTGAAGTCCGAGCAGTTGAAGCGCCCGGGGGGCTCGGCCTCGATCTCAAGGTTGGAGTCGCAGAGGGACTTCCAGAAGAGCTGCTGCTGGCGCATGCTGTTGTCCAGCGCAAGCCTGGCGCGCTGCGGCTGCGGCTGCAGGAAGCTCTGCGGCGGGCGGCTGGCTACATTGAAGTCCACGATCGCGATGAAATTGCGCACGCGGTAGTTCGCTTCCGCCCAAGTGCGATGCAGCTCCCAGGCCTTCTGGACGTTGCGGCGGTCGGCGCCGGCGATCTCGTGATTGCGTACACTCATTGGACCAAGGTGGCACGCGTGACGACGGCCACCAGCTGGACACGACCATGAACGAGTGCTTCATGAGCGAATAGCGGGAGCTGGTTCGGCCGCAGCTGCTCGAGCACCATCGGGGTAAGCCAAGGGATGAGCGCGGCGACGCCGCCCGTGACATCCGGGCCGTCGCCATCGTCGTGCGAGAACTCAGAGAAGAAGAGCATGTAGGGGCACGGCTGCGTGACGACCCTGGTGCGGAGCAGAGCCTCCGAGCCGTGGACCTCCTGCTGTGTGATGACGCACTTGCGCTTCAGATACTTCGCAAGGGAGGCCTGCTTGCGGCGGCGGCGCTTGCTCTTCTAGCCATGAGGGCTCTGGCGTTCCACGAGACGATAACGGTCGGCTCGGTGGCGTCGTCAACCCTCCACGGAGCCAAGTGATGGTCAGAAACGCCACGTGGCCGTCTCCGCGTCAGCAATGAGCACCTGGAAGGAAGTGATGATGTTGCCGCGATCGATGCGCTGGAACTGCGGGTGATCGGCGGCCTGGTCGTTCCACTGGATGATGGACGGATCGGCTTGACCTCTGATAATGATTTTGACTATGGGCATTGAGTCAGCGACTATTTCGCCTTTGTTCCTGAACGCTCTCCATCTCGTTATTGGGCATCGTTGATGCATGAGCTGGAGTAGTTTGTTTAAACTTCGGCACAGATCTGCTTGGACGACTTGCCGGGGTTGAGGTATATATCGCAGTGCTGCCCAGCAGCGTCTGTCGATATAAACCTGTTCCACTTCCCAGCGGCGTCTCGCAGGGCGCGTGATAAGGCAAGGGCGCGAAGCACTGCAACAGCTTTATCTTCTTTGACGAGCAGTATGAGGCGGCGAGCAGGTTCGTCACATAGAAGTTCGACATGGCTTGACTCTAAGCTGGCGGCGGTGATCCACTCCTGGGGATTGAGCAGCAGGTCTGGCGCGATGAGGCGTTGGCTTCCGATCGCGAAGAGCGTCGGGTCGGGCTGTCTGTCCCAGTCGGCAAGGCGGCTGAGGTCGGCGATCGGCGTCTGGGCTTCGGCGAGAGGGAGCGCGTCGCACATCCGGTCGATCCGTTGTCACATGCGTTGATGTTCAGCAGATTGGCGGTCTTGTTCTCTGCGAGCGCGGGCAACTTCGTCGTGTAGAACGTCAACTCTGCGTGCGGTAGCGGCGACTTGTCGATGAACGAGGTGTCTGAAACTTTCACGAGATTCGGCGCGTAGCTGGCCGCCTTGAGCTTGAAAACGAGTAGCGGCTGCAGCGACTTGTCGTTGCATAAGTTCACAAAGGGCGACGTCGAGATCTTCAGGAATTCCAGGAAGCGGTTCATTTCGCTCAGCAGGTGCAGGATGCTGCTCTGGACGAGGCGCGGCGAGTCCAGGAGCTGGCGCGGCTTGTGCGGCGGCTGCGGCGGCAAGCTCTCGAGATGGAAAGGCAGGTGCCAGCTCGATGTCGCGCGCGAGCTGCGAGCCGAGCCCGCCGTTGGCCCAGGGGTCGGCGGCGCCCGGGAGCGGGTCAGCGGGAGGGTGA